GTCGTCTTGTAAGCTTTACAAACTACACTGGTTATCATAAATTAAGGAAAAATCACAAAAATAGCGATAACTCCCTCAAAAATAAGCCAAACCGTGTAAAATTTGAATATGTTGCCAAGTAAGAGTAGCTGAATAAAACTGCAATATGCAAAATAATTAGTGGCGCTGCACTCGGAATACGTCATCTGCGAGGAGAATAAAAGTCTATGTTTGAGAGCAAGCCCACATATTTTACTATGATAGTGACATCAGAAATCTGAGATAGCCAATTCGTAACAATGACCTCCAGGCATCATTTGCCTGCAGAACTACGATGGAGAGACATTGGGAGGCAGGATAAAGTCAAACAGAAGTGGCCAGATGGCTAAATGTAAATCCTTCTGTGGTTCATAGACTTTGGAGGCGATTTCAAACCACAGATTCGGCATCTAGGAGGTTCAGCCAAGGACGGCCAACTGCTACAACGAGCGCCGATGACCGATATTTGACATTATGTGCACGCAGGAATAGAACCGCTACTCCGACTCTTCTTAGATCCTCCCTTGCTGCAGCCAGCGGAGGGTTGGTGTCAACGTTAACTGTGCGTAGAAGGCTTCAGGAAGGTGGTCTGTATGCGAGGCGACCAGCCATTTGCTTGCCACTCACGTCACGCCATATGAGGGACCGTTTGCAGTAGGCACGACAACATTCTATGGACGCTGATTCAGTTTCTTTACGGATGAGTCTATGTTTAGTCTAGAAGCGATAGTAGGCGTTATTGATATGGAGAGAACCTGGAACCCGTTATCATCCGCAAACATCCGTTAAAGAGATGCATACGGAAGAGCAGTGTTGTGTTTGGGGTGGCCTCTCTTTGGGGTACGCACACAAACCTCCATGTCTTTTCTAACGGAAATCATGAATGCTCCGGTTTATAGAGATGACATCCTTGAGCTTATGTGCGCCCTGTGCCGGGGCAATAGGTGATGCTTTCATTACAGGACGATACGTAAGATCACACAGAATCACGAGATGATTATCTTAACAGGAAACAATTATGCGCATGGAGTGGCCAGCTCGATCCCCGGACTTGAATCCTATCGAGCACGTTTTGGATGCTTTAGAGCGACTCTAATTCTCAATCCGTCCCCTTAGACCCTTGCCGCGTTGCAAATGCTTTGCAAGAACAATGGCTCTCGCTTCCTATGGAACTGACAGACCGCATAATTGAAAGCATCACGCACGCTGTATGTACTGATTGCTTCTAGAGGCGACATATTTCATATGAAGGTACTTTTCCTACCCAAACTGACACCTTCGATTTGTTCATTTTTCATGTGCTCATTTATACTACCATAATTTCTAGTAATTTTTTATGTTAGTTGATACCTTATGGTTGTATATTGGTGGGTAAGTTCATAAAATTCTACATGTAATTTTCAGTAATCTTTTTTGTGATTTTTCCTTAATGATGATAACCAGTGGTATGAGGTGCTGCCTTTGTATTGAGTTGAGCAGGTTTTTTCATATTTTGAGGTCTGATTGAGGCCCCAGATCAGCTGCTCCATAAAGTAAGATGCGCTCTATCCACTGTTAGATACCAGTGTCTTATTAGTCGAGAAGGAGTCCTCCAGTTGAGACACATTACCTTTGTCATATTGTTTGCAATTTTTCTGCATCTTTGTTTTAGGTCCTTGATGTGCGGTATCCAGGATAGACCGTTGTCTATGAGGAACCTTAGATATCGTAAAGTATTAGCACATTGAATGGACTGACTGTTGATTTGGACAACTGTGTTCCGTCTCATTCTGCCTTTCCGTAGATTTAATATGTAGAAACATTAGGTTATTTTGAAGCTGGAGACATGAAAAATGAGCAGTGCCCTCGCAGGGTCTTGAACCTGGAACATTCGAATACGCGCCGATTGTACTACTGTTACACCACGAATGCATACTGAAAGGAGGGAGAAAAAACCTTATATACTTCCCCTTTGAAGGGCGAATGGGGATCAGGGGACCCAATCGCCAAATCATAATGGTGAAAAATTATTGTCCTCAAGCGCTATTTGTAGTCTTTAGTTTTTTTTGAAGCAAGAAATGTGAAAAATGTGCCCGTTGTCTATGAGGAACTCGAACCCAGGACCTCTCGAATGCGCATTCAGTATGTTTCCAGTTACACCAAGAAGTCATCAAGAAAGGAGGACAAAATGCCATATAAATGAATTTAATTGGTTGTGCATCACGGACTTAATCGAAAGTACTTTTTTTAAGCAAGCGGATCCCAAAGGATCCGGGAACAAATCAATTCAATTTACACTAATTGCTGTAGGAAAATTATTTCAGTTTACGAATATTTCATATGAAGAACTATCTTCTGGAACAAATTAAGTTCGTTAGCTAATGTTTCACTGTATTTCCAGATTTTAAGTGCTTTTTACATATTTTCAAAAGAAGTTGATACTAGTCTGCAACAAGCTGAAGTCTTTTTTTTTCGGGGGGGGACATCTTTCCAATTATTTTCAGTCATGTGTTTCAGATCAAGGAAATATCTGTTGAAACACAAGATGTATCTATTTGTCGGACTAGCTGCAGTAATTGTTTTGAAGGAAAGAAATCGCTGTTCTTCTTCCCGAAATGCAGGAAGCGTACAGATTAGTTATTGCAGAGGTGCTGTTATATAGAAAGTGAAATTTAAAATTATAAATTTTACTGTAAAAAATTATAAATTTCACTATAAAAGAAACATAAGTGATTTACTGTACACAGACACACACACACGCAAAAGGGAAAAAAAAAAAAAAAAAAAAAAAAAAAACACTCTTAAATGTTTCAGTTTTAAATTACATTCAAAGGGCCGTTTCTTTAATATTTTGTGTGTTACAGTTATTTATTAACCTTTTAACTGTCATGCCCGAGATAATCTCGGGCACAGCACTAGTGTTCGAAAATGTCACGCCCGAGTATTACTCGGGGTAATTTTTTTTTTTGAGTGCATCGTATTGTTATACCCGAATATATATCGGGAGACGTTTATTTCGGCTTCATCTCTTTGTCAAAACCCGACTGTATCTCGGAAAAGTTAATGTGCGCTCAGTTCAATAATGACAAACACTTTAACTGAAGATTTCAAAGGTTACAGGTTATTTGGTTCAAGGTGCATGGGATCTTTTTGTTGTAAATAGCGTCCAGTTTCTTTGAAACGTTATAGATGATTTAATTCTTCAACCGAAGATGAAGATGTGTGTTTGATGAGCAGTATCATGATACTTCCATGGTCAGCCTCCTCAAAAATAAAAAATGGAGATATACTCAAGCCGAAGATTGTTTCTAATTACGGTCAAACTATGGGTGGTTAGATCGCTGATAAAATATTATAAAAAATATTTTTACATTTACTAGGCAAGGTATCTGGAACTCATATTTGCTCTATAAAAGTAGTTGGAACGTATTACATTTTTAGAATTCGAATCCAAGTTGTAGAAGAGCTTTTACATAAATATGATGATCAGCTTCTGACAAAAGAATGTTGGCAGACCACCTACAATAGATAACCTGCCCGTCTTACTGAACGACATTTATATCCCATCCGCTTTTCCTCCTATTCCTGCGAAAAACGTGAGCCTACAAGACATGCAGTGTGTTGTTCGAAAAGGATAAAAATGGGGGAAAGATAGGAAGGAATCACGATTCGGTGTAGTGATTGTGAGTTGGTTTGTGCTTGGAAAGTGTTTCAGTTGTATCAGTAGACTGAATTACGAACTACTATAGGTATTCACTTATATTTATTTATGTTTTAGAAAATAGGTTAATTTTTTTTTATTTTTAGAAAATATGCTCCACTAGCGAACTTTGCAACTGCCATTGGTGACAGCTGCCTCAAATAAAATCAGTGGCTACAAAACTTAAAACTTTTACCCATGTACGTCAAAATATAAATTTTTAACTACTTACGTATATTTTATTTTGTACTAAACATTTGGTTTTTGCAATAAAAAAATTTGACAATTTGTGTACCCAAATCATCAAAATAACTTGACAGTTAAAGGGTTAAATATCATGTTCTTCGCACTTAAACCATAAAATTCAGTGCAACAGCAATATCGCAAAATAGATTTTAAATGAAATTTCCGATACAGAGACTCACGCGCAGGAGATAAAAAGGTTTTTTTGTACAGCGTTGTCATTGCTCGCTTTGAAAATCCTTGAGTTTGTTAATCGAAAATTCTTTAAAGTTTTACAAAATAGGAAATCGATAATAAAATAAATTCCAAATTTCAAATTTGGTCTTCCACATGCCCATATTCGTAGGAGTATAACGTCATTCAAAATTCGATGGCTCTATGTACCGTTGTTTTATCACAATGCAAGAAATATGCATACATTTATGCATATTTTTCATTATTTTTCTTTAAATATAAGACAGGGCGATAATACTTTGTGGCAACAGTTTGAAAAGTGATTCAAAGTTTGTAGTGAATCTACAAAATCGCAAAACAAAAACAATAGTCATTCAGAGACAAAAAGACTAATTATAAATGTTTTTATGAAACAATTTAAATGAAGAATATGTTACAAAATATCTTCTTTTAAATTTTTCTCCATCCCTAAAATATACCAGCCTTTTAAAAAACCGTGAATCGATCGTTTTCAAAACGCCTAATAAACAGAATAAAAATGCATTATTTTTTTAAGCTAAAGTCCATTTAAAAGCAATTTTTAAACATTCATAAATTTTAATCTCTTCTTAAAGGCATTTGTTCTCTATTGTCAGCTGCAATATGAGTCTAAATATCTCCGTTAATCGAAACTGAAGTTTTTAATCATAATAATGGTTTTGCAACGAAAAAATTTATACCCAGATTGTCTTAATATTTATTTTGCAGCGTAAAAGAGTATTAGTCCATAAAGGTAAAGAAAAAAAATTGTTGCTTAAAAATCAAGTGACTGAAATTGGTGGTTGCGAAAATGCTGTGTGTTTCATTAAGTGAAAGCACGTTAAATTCTATCGTGAAATTTTCTTACCTTAAAAGAGACACTATGCTCGTTGTCGAAAGCCACCCATTCGTTTCCTAGGTAAGCAAAAGGGACTTTTGTTGAAATGTCAAATATCTGAGTCGCTCCACGCTTCAAGAATTGACACACCTTTAAAACACATATTGAAATTTTACATTTAAAACTTAATATAAAAATAAGTAACACATATAGACACACACACACACATATATATGTTTACTAATGGATTATTGAGTATATTATCTCCTTAGGTAAGGTTAGTAGAATTGTATTCAATTTATTAATATACGTATATATATATTAATATAACAAGCAAGGTAGTTAGTACAATACTGTATGACCAATTTGGTCTAGAAAACATTTTGCGCAATATGCTGCAAAATAAGTAAATTAGAAATAGTAGTAAGCTCGCCTAAAAGTTACCAGGAGCTGTGGCTCCAAAAGGTTCAACACGTTTTTAAAAAACAATGTCATTGAAGGGTAAGAAATATGCTACCCGAAAAAAAAAAAAAAAAATAGTAAAATACTCAGTGTTGGAAACTAGTAATGGCAAAAAATACAGTAAAATACCTATGGATGTGCCATTTGAAAAATTAATACACATGAAAATCAAACCAAGTAACAAGTAAACATAAAACAAACAAAATCAGATAAAAATAGAAAGCGGAAAATGGTAAATTAGCTGAACTCGACTTCCAAACTGGCTTTTCAAGGGAAATATCTGATTTGAACGTCGAATCAAGCTAACTCCATTACGCGTTTCGCCGAAATAGACAATTGAAACTTTTACGCTACAAAATTTTTAATTTAGACAAAGTGTCTTGGAAAATTTATTAGTCTCAATTCTCTGTTCCAATTTCCCGACGCGTCCGCACAAAATGACACATTAAGGTGTTAAAATATGTAAAAACAATTCCGATTACATCTAAAATCAAGACAAAAATAAAATAAAAATAAAAATAAATGGCGGTTTGCTATTAGTCCTAAATATACAAAAACATACGGGCTGGGCCTGCAAGCTTAAAGATTTATTCTTTTATAGATTTTAGAAACCTGTAATTAAATTTAAATGAAAATTAAGATGAAAACGAACACAGTGGGTCTTGCTAAGACCAAGAAAAAATTGTAACAAAAGAAACAGAAAAAACTGACCTGTGGCGATGCAGAGCTCTCCCTCTAAAAACAAACTTGAAGAAGGGGTTGTAATTCCCTTCTGTGGACTTCAGCGTCATCCCACTCGTGCCTGTGACGTAAGTAGGGGGGAGCGATGTCTTTTGGGCATCAGCCAATACGAAAAAGACTGTCCGTTAGCTGTAACTCGTCTCTAATTTTCGAAGGGGGTCGGAAAGCTCGGAAAAACGTGAAAAGATTTTAAAATGGCGTCAGTCATGTCGTTGGAAGAAAAAATTGTTACTGAAAGTGAAAATGGCTAATTCAGCTAAAACTACTAAACTTGGCCACTAAAACAAGAGTAAAAGGAAAAAAAAACAGTCATTTTGTTAATAAAAAGTCGTAATTCTTCAAGCTAGCGGGCGATCAAGCTACTATGAAAAACGAAAAGGCCCGATTTGTTAATAAAAGTGGTAAAATTGGCTATTAAAGAAATTTAAAACTCAGTAACAATTTTTTCTTCCAACGACATGACTGACGCCATTTTAAAATCTTCACGTTTTTCCGAGCTTTCCGACCCCCTTCGAAAATTAGAGACGAGTTACACCTAACGGACAGTCTTTTCGTATTGGCTGATGCCCAAAGGACATCGTTCCCCCTACTTACGTCATACGACTGAAGTACACAGAAGGGAATTACAACTCCTCTTCAACTTAGTTTTAAGAGGGAGAGCTCTGCATCGCCACAGGTCAGTTTTTTCTGTTTCTTTTGTTACAATTTTTTCTTGGTCTTAGCAAGACCCACTGTGTTCGCTTTCATCTTAATTTTCATTTAAATTTAATTACAGGTTTCTAAAATCTATAAAAGAATAAATCTTTAAGCTTGCAGGCCCAGCCCGTATGTTTTTGTATATTTAAGACTAATAGCAGACCGTTATTTATTTTTATTTTTATTTTTATTTTTGTCTTGATTTTAAATGTAATCGGAATTGTTTTACATATTTTAACACCTTAATGTGTCATTTTGTGCGGACGCATCGGGAAATTGGAACAGAGAATTGAGACTAATAAATTTTCCAAGACACTGTCTAAATTAAAAATTTTGTAGCGTAAAAGTTTCAATTGTCTGTTTCGGCGAAACGCATAATGGAGTTAGCTTGATTCGACGTTCAAAATCAGATATTTCCCTTGAAAAGCCAGTTGGAAGTCGATTCAGCTAATTTACCACTTTCCGCTTCTATTTTTATCTGATTTTGTTTGTTTTATGTTTTACTTGTTACTTGGTTTGATTTTCATGTGTATTAATTTTCAAATGGCACATCCATAGGTATTTTACTGTATTTTTTGCCATTACTAGTTTCCAACACTGAGTATTTTACTATGTTTTTTTTTTTTTTTTTTTTTTTTTTTTTTTTTTTTTTCTCGGTAGCATATTTCTCCCCCTTCAATGACATTGTTTTAACACGTGTTGAACTTTTTGGAGCCACAGCTCCTGTAACTTTTAGCGAGCTTACTACTATTTCTATATTTATTAATAAATATATTTCTTAAACAATATTGATTAATTGATTATATTATCTCCTAAGTTAATTAAAGTAGAATTATTTTAAAAGAGTGAATCCATACTAGTAAGTTATATTTTGAAAGATGTTTTGAAGTAACCTGAAGGTAAAATGTTAACTCTGAGTCAGACGCGAAGAAACACTTTGCCGACTCCCCACTAGAAAGAATATAGTTACTTAATACTTTTGCTGGCCTTTATATCTTCTGTACATTAGTGTTCTTATGATATTTTTTTATTTTTATTATTTTTTATTGTTTTACAAAGTTTGCATTATTTATCTTTTTTGTAATCTTCTATGTTTATTTCAACTTTATACTTGAATTCTATTTCATATGACAATTTCCAATTTTAATAATTTTTGCAAATAATATAGAACTCTAATGCATAAACACGGGGGTGTCGGGGGACGGTTACTCGAGTTTTTTCGGATTTCTGTACAGAAATTGCTTTTCACTCAAAATTGAATTGGTTTAAATGCTTCATAGAATAATTCTTTGAGTATCAGCATTGGTTCATACTCCCTTCTATTCGCGGAAATATTTGGCCTGACTAGAATTGCTGGTTTGGTTTAACCTTATACTCGAGTAAAGACGAAACACCTTCGTATTTACGTATTTAATTATTAATTATTGTTCATTGAACGGGAGTGGTTTGTTCCCCTGAAAAGTCAACTAATTTCCGATCAATGACAATGATTACATGCTTTTTAATTAATTTTCCTTTTACAATTGAAATTTGGTCTTCATGATGATTTAATTCAGTCCCCGTTAAAACATTTAAAACATTTTACCTTCAGTTACTTCAAAACATCTTTCAAATATAACTTACTAGTATGGATTCACTCTTTTAAAATAATTCTACTTTAATTAACTTAGGAGATAATATAATCAATTAATCAATATTGTTTAAGAAATAAATTATTATTAACTTACTTTGCAGCAATTGCGCAAGTAGTAGTAACTTGTTTTCGTACCAAATGAATTTAAGATCATACAACATATTAATAAATATATATATATATAATCTTAAAAATAGGCTTTTTAAGGAATCTCTGTGTGTTTTGCAGTTAAGCATGTTTTATCCATAAGGATTAAATTCTTCTGTTAATAGTAAATCTGTCTTTTATGCTACTGTATACAAACAATTCAGTCTTTTTAGTTATAAAACGCAAAGAGGTACTAGAGGAAATTGCAAAATTTTAAGACTTCTTTTACTACTAATTTTCTACAGTCAGAATTTCAAGATTTATTTAAACAGCCAAATTTCAAAAAACATATTCTCAACTACCTGCATACCCTACATCACAGACATCTGATTATCATTCAAAATTTTGTCAAAGATAAATTCGAAGGTCATATAATCTCATTAAAGATTTAGTACTTGATTTCATAAAATTCAAATACAACTGTGCTTCTTCCAAATATTTAAAAATAAATATGTATTGTACTATAAACTTTCTACTTAAAAATATTGATGATCTTCAGCTTCATAAGAATTTTAAACAAGCACAACAAAAATTCCCTACAATAAATTCTAAAATTTCGCTTCAAGTATAACAAAAAACTAAGCAGTTTTATTTCTAACCATAATGAAGAAGATTTAGCAGCACCATGGTTTTGTGATGAAAAAAGATTTCTACCTTTTGTTAAGGAAGAACACAAGCATAGTGCAGCAGGAAATCAAGATCAAGAAATTAGACTGCTTTTGAAATAAAGGAACGAAATTTAGACCCATTACATTCATTAATAAATTACAATGTATAGAAAATATTTCTACAGGTATTGATAATTTCATCTTGAAAGTAAGTTCTTAACTAAGTTTACCTTTACGTCTATTTGAAGAATGGAAGAATGAGATAATTACTCAAAGTAAAAAGGAAATTGAAAAATTCAAGGATTTAAAGGAATTAATTACTGGAAAAATTTACTTCTGAAGTTTTCACAATTAAAAAACAGTTTACCAGAAACAAAATTGATAAAGCAAACAATAATTTCAGTATTTTATGGAAAAAAATTGTACAATTCTATAATTGGAAAAGAAATGAAAAATTCTTCTACCTATAGTATCTGCAAAAATAAAGAACTGTTATTAACGAAATTTCTGCTCTTCACAAAAAATGGAGAATTTCTCACTTCACTACAAATAACAGATTTGCCAATAGCAAAATTTCGTAAAAAATTTAGATTTATAACCAATCATACTAGGAACTTCAAGAATAATTTTTATAATATTTTTACCAGTCTTCTTAAAACTATTTCTAATATAGTTTTTGAATAAGTTAAAGCTGACAAAAACTTCTGATGGATTATTTATGACAACTTGAAAATCATTGAAGAAGTTAGATATCTTAAAATGTACAATATTAACTGCTATATGACTTTGAAAACCTCTACACGTTTCTGCCACTCAAAGGAATCTACAAAAGTCTTTAGAAATGACAAATTGTTTTCCTGAAATACTGTTAGAAAAGACAAAAGTTTTTCTTGAAAAACTACTTAATATTCTGGATACAAAAATGGAAAGAATTTCTACATTTTTCGCTAAACGGTATTAAATATTCAAAATTTCTTTACCTGCAAACGAAAAGAACTCCAATGGGAAGTTCATATTCAACTCATCCTTGTAACCTATTTCTATTTTCTAAAGAATTCAAATTCCTTAAGAGCCTTTGTGATTATGATTTCAGTAAATTTGAGCGCACCTTATATATTGATGACATTAATACTTTCAACAATTACAATTTCATCGAAAATAGCAACATCTACCCAAACTGTCTAAAACTTAGTAATACCAATAAAAAAATCTGATGTGTACATCACATGACTTTCTTGTACGGAATATTAAATTATACTCATTTTTTATTGCATTTCATTTAAACTTATTGGATTGAATTAAATCTACTTCGCCGACAGCGCATAAACTACAATAGAATAAACGCATTCTTTAAAATTCACGTTATTTGTTTACCATAGCGACACTCTGGCGCTAGATTCACTAACAGTTATTATTCATATTAATCATATGCACAAAGTTATCATTAAAAGAATAGAATTATATAATCGGCCACATGTTCGATTCAATACTATAATAAGCTAGAAGAGTAACAGAAAGTAAGAACAAAAAAAAAGAAACAGTTTTTCACACGATTGAGTATTTCTCATTAATTATCAGTTCTCACTCCGAGAAGCAAAATCATAAAAACTCAAAATATATATTAAAAATACGAAGTAAATCTTAACACTTATTCCTCGAAAAATTAGGGAAATCCAGAAAGGATTAAGCATGATGATTATTGGCATATAATGAGGCGTTTTTTGTTGCGAAGCTAGTTTCTTAGACTGGCAAAATCAATAGTCTGCTGTTCAAATGTAACATCATGGCCGCCATAAAAAAATGGCTAGCGGCAGTTAAAAACTTAAATGTTGATAATTCTAAAAATATGCATACAGATTATTTAAGCATAAAAACCTTAACCGAAGATAAAAACAATAATTCAATCATTTTAAAGCAAAAAATAAACTTTACAAGCGTACATATAAGTAAAGAAACTAAGATCACTGAGCCGGGTAACAGAGTGGATATATAATAAATAAAATAATATATAGTTTGTGCGGCCGATTGCAACCAAATACGAGGTGCACATCTAATGTTATAGCAGCCTATACAAATTTAACTTCCTGAGGCAATCGTTTTGAGTTATGTAGATACGTACGTATGTACATACGTTGTACAGGCCACGAACCATTCTTCGAATCAGTTTTAAAGCAATTTATAATTTTTGCAGGAAAGAGTCTTATTTGTTTCTAAGAAGATATCACGCAAAAACATAGTTAAATTGCATTCGATAGCGGTCAAAGGATATTTCTTGAAATATGCTGCCTGAACTTTTCGCGATTACAATACTCCTTTTTACTTCGTCAAGGAAGTAAAAACAAACAGGAATTTTTTCCTGATCTAGTATCATATTTAAAGAAATTAAACTTTTCGTAAAAGAAAAGATTTTATTTTTCGACAATAAAAACTCTAAAATCCAACAATCTAAAAATTTTGCAAATATGTATTAATCAATTAACAGAATTAAAACGTTCACTGAAATAGAAACACAAAAAGAAGAATTCTAATCTACCAAGTTTAAAAGAAAATGAAAATCCATAAAATTGATTAATAGCTTTAAAAAAAAAAAAAAAAAAAAAAATCTGGTGTAGTCCACATTACTTTTAAACTTTTTTTTTTTTTTAAATTTGAAAGCGCAAAAGATAGGATGTTTTATAAGGTTTAATGTTTCTATTTATTTTTATCTTAATGACTAATCTTTTGAGTGAAACAAGGAACCACATATTCAAGTCGTCATGATAAGCCCATGACTGTGAAGACATTGTACTTTTATAACAACAGTTACTTATCTGTTCAAGCTTTTCTTTTGCCTTTTTCTGTAATTTTAAATAAAAAAAAATCTAAAATTCAATTTTATGGTTTTTGTCTACTCATTTCTACAAAATAATTATTAAAAAATTTTTGAGCAACTTTTTTGAGTCTAAAATTCAAAGAGAAATTGATTATAAAATTTAATTAAAGTTTTACAATGAATGACGTTCTTTATTCCCTTTTTGTTTTAAAAAATAGTCAAAATTCACTTAAATTTCCTTTTAATTAGTGAAGTAAACTTTTTCTTTTTCAAGATTAAAATTTTCGGTGATTGAAGTTTTAAAAAGTTTCTTTTGGTTTCAAGATTCTTTTTTTTTTTTTTTTTTTTTGTTCTCTTCAGTTTTTAGTTTTTTAACGATTACTTTCTCGCCACAGTATTTCAGTTTCTTCAATGAAGCCAAAATGGCAAACCTAAACGTCGCTAATGTAACGATCTTATTCATAGTTTCGATTGTGTTCTAAATGAAAGTGCTCGAAGTTTTTAATTACTTCTTGTGGTTTTATTATAGTCTTTTCACTAAAGTTTTATAACTTCGCTTAGGTTTGAAATTCTTTGGAGTATGTGCTATTTGTTTAAAGGTAAAATTTTGGATATTTCCCTAAAGTATTTTATTATTTTACTACCATTTTCAATTCTTTAAATAGAATTCTCTTTATTTAAGGTACAAGATTTTAATTAGAATTTACTTTGTTTTTTCCTTGCTTTGGGGAGAGGCCAGAATTTTCGGGTGAACTATTATAATTAAAATACATTGAAATGGTTCATTGGCTAATTCTGGATACAGAAAAGCAAGAATTTTTGTGAAGAGAGATTTAAACCAAATAACTAGGAAAATCTTCCTTTCCATTTCCTCTTAGAGACATTTTCTCCACTGCATTAATAGCATTTTAGAGCATCATTTGGTTGCCACCTTACTTGTTCATATCTCGAGAAATCGATCGTCTGTTATTCAAGAAGTTTTTAATTTGTAAAATTTGCTCATGAACCGATTTGCTCATCGTGATCTAAGGCATTTATGAACCAAGGCTCCATATAAAGTGGCAGTGGCGATATTTTGTTAAACAAACATAACTGTCCCTTTTCTGTTTCAAATAATTGGTAATGAAACTTACCTGAGGATATATGAGTTTGCCTTTATTTAGTCCTGGTCCAGTTACAGGAGCGTCCAAGTCATGGAAACGAGAGCTTTTGAGGCGATAAGTTCGTGCATGTGTTGGTACCCCAATCATAATCTTTTTCCGAGGCATGCCACGTGCTTCCCAAAACCCAACAGCCCATGCCTGTATTAGAGGATAAAAATTTATATGACTATTCATGCATCCTTTAAGTCGAAAATTCAGTAAACATTTGACTTGCGTGTTAATCATAGAGATGGCATTAATTAAGGTTCAAATTTATTTAAGATATACAGCTTGCGGGATATCAGTAATAGGTACAGCTTGAAGCAAGGCCACTGTCTATGTTTCCAGGTAGGGGCATTGGGTATCGCCAGGCCTTGCTAACTGCTAATCGTTAACTTTAACTTCTATGTAACATTCAAATCTTCAATTTATGTAAAAAAATCGAATCAGAACATAGTACAAATGGGCAAAGTTGTGTAATTATGTATTGTCAAATGTTAAGACTCCGTAAAAAATGTTTTGATTATGACAAATAATTTTCTAGCAGATAGTGGATTTTTTCCGACGAGATGACATATGACAAATTTGAACCCCTGCTTGGTATGAAACCGTGTCCCATAGGTTGTCCCATATGGGAACAACCTATGGGACACAGCATATTCTGTTGAACTCTCGCTGTCCCATATGGGCATCAGATATCAGGAAAAGGTATAGGTAGAAACTTTTTTTTTTCAATGGCGGGCACTTGCCTATAACGGCATTGGCCACTACTAAGACCAGAAGTGGTGACCATTTTATTGTGGAGGCACCTAATAGGCGGCCACCGTTACCTCCTTATGAAGGGACAGAAGAGGCCCTTGGGTATCGCAGTCAGGCTCCCCTAACCACTATATCGTCTGGGCGGCTACAGGTAGAAGCTAGGCTAGCACCTTTCATAGTACCATAGATGATTGGGGTATTGCTGCACCTAATGAACTACTAAGGTTTTGCTCTAGTATGGAATTTTGAGAGAGAGAGGTAATGGTGCCTGCACATTACGAAGTTATGCCGTAGAACCTTTGCGTCTGAGAGAATAACGTGTAACTTGGAAAAAGGTAGCGATACTTTATCCCAAGTTCACATCTCTCAGCTGTTTTTACATTCTTTTAATTATTTTGTGTTCTAGGATTGAAAAGTAACGACAAGCTGATAACCCCTCTGGAAGTCTAAAAAGGCTAGACTATAGCCTAGATTAAGTAAAATAGCATTTTACTCTTTCACCCAATGTGAAATAGTTAGCATTATTTTCATATTTTAGTACTGAAATGCCCAATTGTTGAAAACTCCCATCTTCCTTGCCGTAGACTTGAAGACTGGATGCAGAAGCTGTTTGACTGCTTTCTCTACAATGGGCTCCTGTATATCCATGTTGGAATTCTTCGTGACGCCCTTTCATTCCTTGGTGTGCCGTGATGACTTACTCAGCTAAGCTTAACTGATTATTCCGACGAGATGGTACTGAAAAGTTCTCTTAGAGACTTTAATGTGAAGCGCTACGGTACCTTTATCGTTAAGCATTTGCTAAACACTCATGCTGCCAGTGTTTACTCATGCTATCAGTGTTCACTAGTGAGAAATATGTTGTGCTTAGAATTGATCTGATAAACGGTTAATCTGAGAGATCATTAAATAAACGCAAATTTCTTTTTAACAATCATTGACTTTTTTTCGAAATGGGTAGAAATAATATTGTTATGTCGAACGTCTGTAAAAGCAGTTTTAGATTAACATTTAAATAAATTTGTTTTAAAATACGGGGCCTCATGAAAAGTAATTTCTGTCAGTGGTCCGCAATCTGTTAGTCAGGTATTTGAAGAAATATGCATAGAACATGACAGAAAACATTTAGAGATTCTTCTATATCGGCCTCAGGTCTATTTACGGGTAAATTAGAATATAATAAAAATTATAAGTAAAAACATATCACCGAACCGGCAATAGTGTATTCGAAAACTCGTGTATACTTTGAGGACTGCGAAACACAATATGACGGAAAAAAACTCTCGCTGAGTAATTCCTGCGAAGATCACTCCTTTTCTGTTTAAAACGAGAGCAAGATTTTAAAGTAACAGCTCCTCAAATGTTATTCTATGATATATCAGAAAATTCAGATAAAGCTCGAGTCAATCAAAAAGTGAACTATGACAAGAGAAACTGTCTTACCTAGTAAAATAGCATATTCTGTTCATAAGTATAACATGTCATGACATTTCACGTTTTATATTACAATTACATAATTAGGCGTGACATTATTCTTTTTCTAATTTTAATTCTTTTCTAATTAGGTTAGTATATATACCCATACACACACACACACAGATATATATATGTATATAAGGTATAACAAAATACGATGGCTGTTTTAAGAAATTATTGGTGAACTCAAAATTAACAGTTCTAAATTTGGTGTTCTTTCCCCTAAATTCTTCTCTTCTACCAGATTCGAGATCTTTGCATGTTACATAACAATCTAAAATTAGCCAATCATAGCTTTCATAGCATCTACTAGGTATAAATACGGCTCCCAAGTATAACTACATCATCTCCCTTTTCCTAACTTCTGCTTTACCAACACCTCTACGCTGCTTTGCTGTCTAAAAATGTTTATGTCATACATCAGAAAACCAATGTACATAAAAATTATTATATTTATATATGTTTGGATAAAGACTTTGTCTACCAAAAGTGAGCTGATAGAATTTATCATGAAATAAAGTTGTGCTTAGAAATGGCCACGTCTGGAAGTTACTGGTTTCTGCATCCATCTCTCTAACTACGCACCTAAAATACTACATATATGTATATATAATTAGAAAACGTTTCATATATCATCTCTAAGGAACAGAAATTCAATTAAAACCATGGATATTGAAAAAAAAATTAGTCAAAATTTTAATTAGATTTTTAAATTAGCTTTTCTAAACCTCTATTGCTTAAACATAAAAGTCTGTAAAGAAAAATCCTTAATCTCAAAAATACCAAAAATCAAAAGTAAAAATTTTTAAGTATTGAAAAAGTAGCTATTGTCATTAATCGACTTAGCAAGGGGAATAACCAATCCACTATCAATTAACAACAACTAAATATAGCGAGAGTGTTTCGTCTTTCTTTCAATTAAGGAAAAGACCTAATAATGTAAGAAATTGGCAGCTGAGTAAGATTAAATATTCAATTTTAATTCAATTTGTGGCCACAATTCACTTGAAACTCTAATCGTGTCTATTCAAGAACATTTACATTTTTTATACTGAACGTATAGTAAAGCTCTAAACACAAGTTTTCTGAGAAGCTCAGATCCTCTATTTTGTGGAACAATTCATCTGTTTTTGGCACAGTTGATTAGAGTATTAAAACTATAAATTGCATTAAAACTTTTGTAAGTTCATTAAAATACAAAAGTTAACTTACCACATTCAGAAAATAATTATATTTCTTTTCACTATTTCTTGAAAATAATGGACTGTGATGTGCCGTGAAAGGATAATCAGGATTGTACAACTGGAAATCGTATGACATAACATTTACAAAATCAACTGTCCTGAAAATAAAAGTCACACAACATGGTATATTATTTGGAATATTTGAAATCAGTAAATTTTACGTATGTGTAATTGGAGCAAAAGTTAGAAAATTTTATTTTCGCAAAGAATAAATATTCTGCGAATATTATTATTGAAATCGTTATTCAGTTACTTTTGAGAGGAAAATCAACAAGCTGCTAATAATATAAAGAAGTTACATAATAAAATTCATTAAGAGTTTTCAGATGATATTTTTACTGTTAAATACTATGACCTTTTATTATGACTTTTGAGGTAGTTCTGGGTCTTTTTGGAAATGGTGAAAGTTTTAATGGTATTCTTGTGGACACATAAATTCAAATGTTTACTTCTACACTCACTGCCAATAAGTATTTGGACACCTGTGATAGAAAAGAAAAATCTAACTTTATTCAAAATCAATAGTTGGTAGAGC